TACAAGTATATATTATTCATATATAATGATATGAATTGCAAATAGTATATATTATAGTAAAATAAATATATATATATATATATATATATAATTTGAGAGATACCCAAAATAAGGATGTAATCACATGGACTTGGTAACGTATTAATATGGGGTATGTCTGGTAAGGGTGGCAAAGCGGTTTTTCCATTGTGTTTTTCTCTGCAAATTCAACTCAGATTCAGTGGCTTCAGAGATTGAGATTGAAGAGATGTCTCTGGAAGCTTCAAAACAGTTCTGGTCTTGTCAGAAATCAACAACCAGAAACCTTAATGTCTCTGGGAGCTTCGACTATGTAACTATTGACTTAAAATCCCCAAATCGAAATGGGGATTAGGGTTTCTAAAATTAGAGGGAGGTGCTCGCCAACACAGAAAGTAAGTGGGGTGTCGGAAGTTAGAGGGTTCACTTGGTCAAGCGAAGGTGAATTTCACGAAGGTGTGTCCGGCCGAAGAGCATTGTGCTCCGACGATAGTTTTCTGGCCGACACGGAACCATGGAGAAGAGATTATGGGGCGATGCCGATGCCGGAGAAGAAAGTCTCTGTTTGCGTTTTCTCGAAACAGAGCAGAAAGTAATATTTCGAGGGAACAAAAACAACATTGCAAAACACTAAAGGGACCGGTTAACCTTATGTGTAGTGTCGGCATGGAGTTACCAATGGTGGAGGCAAGGTTCAAGAACATTAGCGTAAACGCAGCGTGTGAGGTGGTTCGTGGAAAGCCTCTCCCTACTCTTTGGAACGCATTAATCTCTGTAAGTTTGGTTTTATCTTGGAATTCTTCTCGAAAAATTGTTTCAGGGTTTCATGTTTGCTAAACAATTAGGGCAAACTTCACAGATACACGACTTGCTCCGGGTCCGGAGATTAGTCTGGGCTTCGGTCCAGGACGCTCCGTTATAAAAAAAAAAACAAAAAAAAACTTCACTGATACACCAAACGTGTCGTATCCATTTCATAGATACACTCAAAAATCATATAGAATTAATAAAAGACGCTCTTATCCTTAAAAAAGTTGGAAAAGACTATGATAACCTCAAACAAAGAAAACGTAAATCAACATACACACGTATAAGATAAAAACCAACCACTTGAAATTTAAAAAGAAAAAGACGATTTTTTTACACCGATTTTAAAATCAGAAATCAGAGAAAAATATGTCGAGAAAATTAAGGGAGAGACTAATTCAAGATCGATTGAAATGATAAGATCCAAGACCAAAATTCGGAACTTTTAAATATTAAAATAAAATTTTTTCCATCTGCAATCTTCTTTGTATTTTTCAATGGTTGTCACTTTTTCACTCTAAAGATGGTAAAGATGATGCGTCGCTTACAATCTACATTATCGGAAACGGAATTGGAGACTCCATTGTGATCCACTTCTTTCGTACTTACTCTGTTTTTGTTTTCAATGGCTTCGTTGGATCCTAAATCCTGATGTTCGAGCGTTACAATGATGTCGACAAACACATGACAATCGTAACTGTTGGCGGCAAGACGTTTGAGGTCGGTGTTTCGATTCTTTACCTGAATAACTATTGCGTCCAAAACTTCACCAAAAAGTTTAACCTGTAGATATTTTTACTATAATTTGTTAGTGCAATTATAATTAATCTTGTTCGATGTATTTTCGTAGATGCAGAATGTCGGGGATAATTTCTTGAAGTTTTACGAAAATCTCGAAACAAGACCGATCTTTAAACTCGTTGAAATGATATCTAAGTGGTTAAGATTGTACAATTTGACAAGGTTTGTGATGTATTGTATATGTGAAAATTGAACTCAACTTGTATTGTTTTGGTATGTATTTTAACTTGATTTTATCAGATGATGAAAACCTTGAAATTAAGTGATAATAATCGGATTACATTTATATTTTAAACAAAATTAATATTTTTATACATTTCATATAATATAGGTGAAAGTGTTTATATAAAGTTCATATTTATTTAGTGTTGTATTATAAAAAATCTACAAGTCTTTAATAAATTTATGGAATGTGATCTTCAACTAAATATAGTAAGTCGTAGATACTACCAAAAAAAGTTTGTAAATAATTAGTGGCAATTGTGATAAAAAAAAATTGGTCGTAATTTTGTCCCTTTTATTCAGAAAGCAAGCTTGTGTATAAAAAAGACAAAAATCTAAAATAATAGATAAATTCACGTGGACAAAATACCTATAGAAAGTGGGTCCAACCAGAAAAGAGTCATTAATATTGTCTCGGGAATCATGAACAACCAAATATTTACGACTTTATTACGACTTATTTGCCACCATAGAATTTTTATAAATTTGTTAAACAAAATCACAAATTTCGACTTAGTTTTATCAAATGATGATGAAATACAACCAATAAAATGATATTAATCGGTTTGAATTAAGGGATAATCGCATAAAAATACCCGAACTTTTACAAAAATTCCAAATAAATACCTGAACTATAAAATTGTCATATAAATACCTGAACTTTTCAAAACTCCCACATAAATACCCAAACTTTTAAATTTTTCCAAATCAAACAAACGCAACTGCTGACTCAGCAAAAAACTGCTGACTCAGCAAAAAAACTGTTGACTCGGCATTCAAAAATATTATTAAATGTCCAGATATTCATCTACATGTATTTAAATTAATATATGCATATAAATTCACATATATATACAAATATATATATATATATA